CAGCCCTAGCTCATCTTCATGTCACCATGACCAAGCTTCCAACCAGAAATGATAGCTCATACCTAGCTCACCATGACCAAGCATCCAACCAGCACATGCTGAGGTCAGCATGACCAGCAACTTCAAGGGCTTACAACTTGGGCTAGGCTGAATCAAATGAAGACTTTAAGATGTCCATTGTGAAGTTAAGGCCGAAACAAATTGCTAACTCAGTTTGCTCGCTGACAAAATCCATCCTGAGCATGGTTCTGTGTTTGCTAGGTGAAGGACTCCAGATTTATCCAATGGGACTGAATTTTGGATATGTTATAGTACACACCCATTGGAACAACTTTCATGAAGAATGTTGCCTCATCCGAGCTATGTAGGTTGCTGAAACAAAGCTTGCAATATGACCTACGGAACTGGACTGGCAGGGGGCTGTAGCCAAAATGAGTTTGTCTTTAAGCTCTTCTTCTCTTCATCCAAATTAGGCCTTAACATTCATGAATTGCATGAATTATGCTCTCTTGCTCTTTTGGCCTACAAAACACACAAAGGGAGGCAAATAACTCAAAATTATAAGAAACTAAGCAAAAGAAGTAAGTAAATTGGGCATGTATATGTATGAAATTATGAGCTTAACACCATTCTCCCTCAAAACTATTTGAGTGAAACATGTTACAAATGGAAATCCACAACTTTATTATAATCCAAAGCAGCTCCAACAAAATTTATTCCACTACATACCTAAAAGCACGATTATAGTTCTTATTAGAAAACTAAACCAATCATTAACCCCTACTGCGACCCAACACCCTCTCCGAAACCATTAAATCTTTACCACCCATCAGCTAAAACACCAAAGTTTCCCAATTTTATTCGGAAACCAAAAACAAAAAACCAACAAAAGCAATCCACAAACAAGCGAAATTACCTGACCAAAACAAGCCTACTTAAGCACACCATTATCACCAATCAACAAACAAAATTTGGATATAGAGAAGATCACTGTCTATTGCATATTAAGCTAAAGGCCTAATAATCTGTATCAACGATACCAGGTATTTAGATTGGCAGTTCTCATACACCGCACAGTTTAACCGGAAATAAATTGAGGTATCTTACAATTGAAAATTGGAAATAATATGAATAAGAAAAATAAAACGAATTGAAGCAAGCAAGCTGATTCCACTTATACGAACTAAAACAACCTAAATTTGAACAAAACATAATTTACCCAAAGCACTTTATAGTCATAAAATTGAGAAGAGTAAGGTAAACAAATATATACCCTAAAAGTTGGATGACCATCATTAGGTAAGATAAAGCCATCGTTAATGGATTGTATAGTATGCACAGAAATGCAAAGTCCCAAGTTGGCGATAACCTACAAGGAACAACATCATAGTGAATCAAAGTAAAAACATTGTGAATAAGAAACAAAGGGCAAAATTCAAAATATGTATCAGGCCACAAACCTTATCTAAGAAAAGCTTCTCAAGCTCTCCCCTAACTGCATCTTCTAGACGAAGGCTAAGCAGATGAGGAGGCAGCCGCAGAGTGTGCTCAATTCGGCTGAGGTAGAACATTTGGGTTGTCTTCTAAATTATATTCCAAAATCAAGCATGCTCAGATTAAAGTCGCAGATTTTGGGCAAAGAATGCAATGTTAAATATCAACAAATTCAAGCATAATTGAAAAAAATTACCAGCCTTAGTTTCCAACAATAGCAACTCTCTCTCTCTCTCTCTTCTGTGCCGTGGACGGAGGTGCACTTGCTCTCTATGTTCGATGTCCTGCTCTCTGGTTAGCGTTAACATATAAAACAAAAACAATAAGCCAAAATACAGCAGCAACCAAAATACAAATATTGCATGCTTCAATAACAAAAAAACAATAAGCATTAACATATAAAAAACAAATTAATTGAAACAGCAACCAAAAAATGAAACAATAAGCATTAACATTGAAACAAATTAATTTTCAGACGGTTTTCTGTAAACTACAAATAAAACAAACAGCAACCAAAAATAAAAAAATGAAACAGCAACCAAAAATACAAAATAAAACAGCAACTGAAAATAACAAATAAAAAAAGCAACAAAAAATATAGAAAAATTACCAGAAATAAAAACAGCCAGCAAGCCAATCCTTTCCTTAGCCTTCAAAATCAATTCCAGCCAGAATTTTTGATTCCCTAAATTACCAGAAATAAACAGAGTCAGACAAATAAATAGTAAAAATACAACAGAGTCAAATCCCTAAATTTTTGAATTAGGGTTTCCACAATAACAATCAACAAGTGAGAACTAATAGAATGGTGACAATCAACAAGCATTGGCATAGAAAGTCTCAGTAGATCATGCAACGTGGTGGTATCACAAATAGAAAAAATAAATCATACCAAACATGCTAATGATGAATTCCATACCAAAAATAACAAATAAAACAGCAACAATTTTCAATGGTAATGCAGCTCTTATTCAAACAGCAAACAAAAATAAATATAGCAACCGAAACAGCAACCAATCATACAAATTAAATTATTACTCAATATCTGCCAAATCACGTTATTGAATGATGCAATTCTTTCCAAAAATAACAAAAATACAGCAAAAATAGCAAATAAAACAGCAACAATTCCATACCAGAAATAAACACAACCAGCAAGCCAATCTGGAAAAACTTTGCCTTCAAATCAATTCTGTCCAGAAAAAATATATATACAAAGTCAGAATATATAAAAAGAAATAACAGAAATCAACAAAAATCCCTAAATTTTGAATTAGGGTTTCAAAATATTAATACCTCAAACCAACAAAAATCGAGAGAGGGAGACCTTTGATGACTAAGAGAGAGCGGGTGAGAGAGAGCGATAGTGGCTGAGAGAGTGACTGAGAGGAAGAACGGACAGAGGCAGAGACCAGAGACTGAGAGAGGCAGAGGCGAGCGAGAGCGGTTGAGAGAGAGACTGAGTGACTTAGAGAGAGCGGGTGAGAGAGAGAGAGAGACTGAGTGACTTAGAGAGAGCGGGATTCGTGTGAAATCTGGAGAGAGTCTGAGAGTGAGATAGGCAGAGGCGGGAGAGAAAGAGTGACTGAGAGGAACGACGAAGAAGAAAGAAAGAGGCGGGAACCAAAAGAAAACGCTGCTGAGGACTTTTGACCCCCAAGGTCTTTGTTCTTGCACAATGCCAAGGAAAAGAAAACGGATTGGTTGGCAGAACAGTCTATTCGCGGATAATTAAAATATTCATATATAAAAATTTGATATATTTAGTTGCTTTTGTGGATTGGTTGGCAAAATTATCTATATATTTGAGACATTATTCACAACTAGCCTCTCCGCACGAGCTTCCGCGACTGCGAGAGCCTTTTTAAAAATAAAAAAAAAAAAAATTATTTAAGAATTAAAAAAAAATAATGGTAGTTGTGTTCCATAAAAATAGGATCCATTATCTGATTTTTCTTTTAATTTTAATTTTTTTAAATATGAAAAAGTGTGAATTTACCATATTATCCTCTGTAGGGGCTTTTTCGTTCCAGCAGCTTGACGAATGGGCTTGGGCTGCTGTAAAAAGCAAATGGCTGGAACCACTCCTTATGTCTGAGTTCGAGAATCAAACCCCAAGTGCGCTTCGAAAGGGTAGCGGAGCCTTAGGAAACACCCTGGTTATCTTCACCAACAAAAAAGACAATTGCTTGCAGATAAATATTTAGGCTTGGCATGAGAAGCTTGTGCCATGGGAGCTAAGCATTCATGAGTTTAGCATGAGAGAGAGAAGGCTTGGGTTTCCTATGAGAAACATAGGCTCGAAGTAAGGGGAAGAGAGAGTTTTTGGGAGGATTTGTTGAGGAGGGAGAGGGAGAGGAAGAGATGAGGAAGAGGAACGGGTGGCTTGAGCAAGTTTCCGGCAGCTTGACGAAAGTTCTGTCAAGTACTGGAACAGTTCTGCCAAGAGGGAAAATGGGAAAGAAGGATGAATAGTGCACGAAATTGCTAGGTTTTGAAGATGAGAGGGAAGCTTGCTCTCTGGATATGTGTTATGAGAGAGAGAGAGAGTGAGGAAGAAGATGAAAGCATGGGTGGTTTTTGTCTGCCGCGCAAATCTCACGGCCTGGGGTTCCGGGCCGAGGGGATGTGCGTTGACACGTGGCTTCCTGCTTTTGAATGCGGTGCGGTTGTGCGCGGGCGTGCCAGCACGGTCTACCGTGCGTCGTGATGTTGATGTGGATAGAATGGTCAAGTGGTGCGCCTATTTGAACTCGTCTTCTAATCAAACGATTGTAGTCGAGAGAGGAACTGATCTCGGCTGCAAGGTTCACGGCCTGAGATACAAGGCCATTTAGGGGGGGTGCTTATGGTGG